AGTCAGCTGGCTCCAAACCAGGAATATCACGGCAGATGGGTTGGTGGAGACTAGCCACTTAGTTCGCAGGAGCCAGGAAGCAAAGCAGGGCAACAGTGCCAGAGAGGAATTGACAAGGGACCAGATATAGACCCCAAGGTCACACCTCAAGGACCCCCTGGATCCACCCGGAACTGTGTCCTACAATCTGCTAGACATTCCTTCATGCAGTGAAGCCGATGTGTCAGGGTTACCAGTCACAGGATCCAAACCTAGAACCGGCAGATTACTGAAAAAAGTATATATATAAAGTATATTGCTAACATTTGTGAAAAAATATCCTTAATCCTGATTACAATAACCTTATCCAGCCATACTGGCCTCCCGGATGTTCTTCGAGCACGTGCCAGACCTACTCCTTCTCCAAGCCCTCACGCTGCAGTTCACTGTTTCACTCTGCTGAGGTCTTTGATCAAATATCACCTTAGCGAGGCTTTCTCTGACCCCGCTATTTAAAACTCCTGGCTTGGACATGTCTGTAGATCTCTTGCCTACCATATTTGCAGCCCCAGATTCAACCCCTAGCACTGCAAAAAATAAAAATTTTTAATTTAAATTTTATTAATTTTTTAAAAATTGAAAGTACTTACCCCAAGAAGTCTCTTTACCCTTTTTCTCTTATTTCTCTTGTTTTTATCCACAGATTTAATGCCATCTAACCTGGTTCGTGTGTGTGTGTGTGTGCGCGTGCGTACACGTGTGTATGTCTGTCTGTGTCTGTGTGTGTCTATGGGGAATTAAAATCAGGGTCTCCTCGATGGGCTATTCCCCATCTCTATTTTTTGGACAGGGTCTCACTAAGCCCTTGTATAGCCCAGGCTGGGCTCTAATGTGTGCCTTCTTCCTGCCTTACCCTCCCACAGTGCTGGGATTACAGACATGCAATACCACATCTGGCTGCATATTTTAGTTTATTTTTTGTAAATTCTATGACAGTGCATGATTTTGTCTCTCTTATTCATTGCTGAAAACCCAGGGTCGAGGAATAATTGGCATAAGGCAGTGAGTGCTCAGTGAATAGTTGTTGAATGAATACATAAATGGCCAAATAAAAGAATGTTTAGTTGAGCTAAAATTGTTCTACTGGGAAAAGTTAGAGCAATGGGTCTCAAATTCTTTAATCTTTTTATTAATTTTGATATAGCGATACTAAACCCATTACATGTTAACATAAATATCACATTTACTGTGAAAATAAATATTTATTTTAAAAGTTCAGAAGTACAGCTTCGTTTTATGCCTACAAATCTCTACTGGATTTAACAGAGAACACCAGGATTCTCCTACTTATGCATCTGATCTGCTGCCATATGTTCTGGTTGAAATATGTGTGGTTGGGAGAGGAGGACTGTTTTGGTGCCTGTTCAGCTATTTATGTGTAATCTTCTCTCATGTGACACCAAAACCCAAATGAGTGGCTGTTTCTTAAAGGCTAGTTGTAACATGGAATCTGATCTTGTCACTGAAATTTCCTGTCCTCTGTTACATTAAAATTCCATTCATCTATTTTGTTTTATTAACCAAGCATGATTTGGTCAGCTCATGCTTTGGTCATTGGAAAATACTGATGCAGAGTTATACTGGCATTTCACTTTTTGACATGTTTCATAATAATATAATACCAAAATTCCGTGTGTTCACATTACCATTGAACTCATCAGAAGTCTTGAAGCCCTGGTAGTAAATACAGTTTGAATCTTATATTGCCAACAAATACAGCCAGGAATCCCTCTGGAATTGACTGGCTTGAGTGAGTCACTTATGGAAACTTATCTCAAAATACTAAGAAGAGCCATAGTCTGTTTGTAAGTCACTCATTCAAGTAAAAATATGAGTGATGAGTCGATTCACAATGCAAACAATAGGACGAGAGCTTTCTTCCTGGAGACAATCATCACATTTCAAATTGCTCTGAGGGTCTTCCCATTGCACCAGGCAGCATATTAAAAAGATGTTCATGAAAGCTGGGCTCATGCCTGGAAGCCCACAGTGTTACTTTTTTCTCGTTGCTGAGACAAAATACCCAACATCCAAAGTTAAAGGGGAAAAGGTTTATTTTTGGCTGACAGTGTGTAGAGATCTCAGTCCATAATAGGCTGGCTCCAAGGTAGGGAGGCAGAAGGGCAACAGTTCACAGCAGCAGGAGTAGCAAAAAGCATCAAGAAATCCTAAGAGTGTCTTTCTGCTCCTTTTATCCTATTCAGACTACTTGGATCAGGGCAGTGCCAAACCAATCACTCACATGTAGTGGTCAAGTAATCACACGCCCTTAGTCCTAATATTGCACCCTCTCAATTCACCCACCTATGACCACATGAGGCTTTGTGGGGACATCTAGACCCAAACCATAACACCCAGCTACTTGGAAGCTGAGGCAGAAGGATCACAAGTTCTAGGCCAACTTGTGTAACTTATCAAGACCCTATCTCAAAAAAAAAAAAAAAAAAAGGGCTGGGGATGTAGCTTCATGGCAGTGGTGGCTTAGTATGCATAAGTCCCTGGATCAATCCCCAATACTGACAAAAAAATAAGTAAAAGATGTGTATGTGAGGGGTGAAAATTGAAAGAAAATATAGCTGTCATTGAGAACATTCTTTGTTAATTTTTGGCACTGGGTATTGAACTCAGGACCTTGCACTTATCAGGTAAGTGAGCCACTGAGCTAAATCCCCAGCCTGAGGATATTCTTTCTTTTCTTTTTTTTTTTTTTTTTTATACCGGGGATCAAACTCGGGTCCTTGCGCTTGCAAGGCAAGCGGCAGAACTGCTGAGCTAAATCCCTTGCCCTCGAGGACATTCTTAAATGACACAAGTTTGGGGTTTACTTGGTATTTATCTTGCTCTGGCACTTTCGCCTGCAAGACCCTGGTGTGCAGCTCCAAGTTTTACTCACTATCAGGCAGCAAGTATGGACATCTTGGCAAAAAGAAAGGCCACTTATTTCTGCATTCTAGTGAAAAGTGTGACCCTGAAGGGCCACTTGAAGTGGTTTGGGGACTCCCAGGGGTCTGCTGACCACATTTTGGGAATGGCTGGGCTCTAGAGTCTGCTGCAATGACGACAGCTTCAAAATCTCACCAGTCTTGGAGACAATGTCTAAATTACACTACTTTATCAAAACCACAGTTTTGACATTGACACAGTACAATTAATCAGACTACAGACCCTCCTCAAAGGTCACCAGTTCATCATGAACTCATCCTGTACCTCTTTGCATTAGCTCTATGCACTTGAACACATGCCCAAACTCAAATAACTACCTTTGCAATCAAGACACACAGCTGCTCTCAACACAAAGGAATTTACGTGTGTGTGTGTGTGTGTGTGTGTGTGTGTGTGTGTGTGTGATACTGGGGATCAAACTCAGGGCCACTGGCTGTACCACTGAGCCACCCCGCAACCCACAAGTGAGTCTTGTGGAATTAAACCTCAGGCTGGGCTGTAACTCGGCAATGGAGCCAGTGCCCAGCAGATTGGAGGTCCCAAGTTCAATCGTCAGCACTGCAAAAATAAAGTCACACCTGTGCCCTTCCCAAAACCCTGCATCCACTTATCCAGTCTCTATTTCTTTTGCTCTGTCCCTGGAGGGATGATGTGTCATCATAAGTATACATGTGGCGAGCCTTTGAGATTGGCCTTTGGTTCACTCAGCTTAATGCCCTTCTGCTCTGTCCAAATTGCTGCCTATGTCAAAATCTGTCCTTCCAATTTAGCTGACAAACATTCCATTTTATGGAACTGTCACAACTTTTTAAGCCACTCACCAGTTGGAAAGCATTGGAGTATTTCCAGATTTGGGCCATTACAAATAAAGCTGCTATAAACACTGAGACCAGATTTCTGTGGCAACGTGAGTTTTCATTCTCTGGGCTAAACCCCGAGGAGTGTGATTGCTGGCTCATGTGGTAAACTGTTCAACTCCTAGGAAACTGCCACAAGGATTTACACAGTGCCCACATCACCTAACGTTCTCACCAGCAATGTAAAGAGATCCAGTTTCTGCACAACCCCACCACAATTTGGTACGATATATTTTTTAGTCATTCTGATAGTTTCAGAACAGTGCCCGTCATAGTTTTAATTGTACTTCTCTAATGACTAATAATGTTGAGCTTTCCTGTGCTTATTAGCCATCCCCAAATCTTCTTTGGTAAAGTGCTTGATAGAAGTTTGGTACAGACTACGTATTTGTCAAAGTCAAGTAAACTTACACTTAGATCTGTATATTGTTTTACACAAATTAACCGCAAACGAAATATATGAAAAATACCGAACTCCGGTTAATAACAACGTGTGGAAGTACTTAGCAGGGAGAGTACTGATTCTTCAGTTTACTCTGAAATACGTCCAGAAAATGGATGGATGGATAAAGGTGCCAAAAGGTGAAAAGCTACGTGTTATAGGAAGTGTAAGGCACTGGTCAGAGTAGAATCTAGGTGAAGGGGGATTCGCTGTAAAGTTTTTTCAACTTTGCTCTCTGAGTTGTTCATAAAATATTTGAAGAAATGCATCTGATACTGAATGACATCAGGTTACAGAAGAAGTGTGTTCATTCATTAAGTAACTCAGGTTGTTGTCGTTGTTGATGTTGGGTTGTTTGGGGGGAGGTTGGTTTCGGGGTTGAGCGCTGATTTTTGTAGTTGTTTTAGTTTTTGGTTTTTGGTTTGGTTTTGGTTTTGTGACACTGGGGATTGAACCCAGGGCTTCCGCTCTGAAATATATCCTTAGTCCCTTCTTTTTCCTCTTATCTTGCGACAGGTTTTTGATAAGTTGCTAAATTGTCCCGGCAGGGCTCAAACTTGCCTCAGCCTCCTAGAAAGCTGGGGTTGCGCGCGCGCCACCACCCCGCGCTGACTCAGCAAATTCCCGCACCTTGAGAAGCAGCTCTGCGCCAGTTCTGCGTCCCGACTCCGGGAATGACAGTAACGGAGACCGGAAAAGGCCCCTGACACCACGGCTGGCTAATATGCATAAAAGAAATGCGTAATATCAGATAATAACTGCAGCTGTGAAGAAAACAAATGCGTGCAAAGAGATGGGGAGAGGAGAACCAAGTCAGAGACAGCAGCCATAGCAGACCTCTGAGAAAGCGGGCGCCTGGAGACTGCTCGCTGAGGCCGCCGCGCGGAGACCTTGTGAACCGCGTTCCGAGGCCGGGAGCAGCCCGGGCCCAGGCCAAGCAGGAAATGAGCTCTGCTGTTGGGAAGAGAGACGCGGGCGGCGACTGAATAGGGGGAGACCTGAACCCGAGCTAGTCCCAGGCAGGGACCAGGCAACAGCAACCGGCGCACAACAAAGGCCTGTGTCTCGCCACACGAATGGCCGGAACGGTCCTCTCCAGGTGCGGACTCTGCAATCAGACGCCCTGCTTCCAATTTACAAACTCCGGGTGCTTTACCCGAGGAGCCCGCCGGTGAGTCCACCGCCATCTGCCGGCGGCGATACGTGGTACACAGGCGCCACCGCTGGCTTTCGGAGTTAGTTCCTCTGGTGTCCCACGCATGAGAGTCAACTAAATACACAGAGATGAGCCTTAGAACCGGGGATCCCATGACACTTCCAGTTACCCAATATTAGCCCCACTCACTAAGCCCCTGTATAGACATCTCAAACACTCCTACTACAAATTACAATAAAGTGGGCACGGTGGCCCAGACCTGTGATCCCCAGCACTAAGGAGGCTGAAACAGGAGGAACAGAGGTCGAGGCCAGCCTGAGCTACATAGTGAGTTCAATCTGAACTGCATAGCGAGATCTTGCCTCGAAAAATAAAAATAAACTTGAGATTTAAAAAATTTAACTGCCTTTTCATCTAAGTGTGCCTGCCCACAATCGTGATTATACTAAATTCTGCACTTTTGGGACCCTCTGCATCTTAAATTCAAACTGTCTGTACCATTAAAAGTTGTGACCATTGGGCCAGAGATTTAGCTCAGTGGTTCCAGCGCCTGCCTTGCAAGCGCAAGGACCCTAGTTCAATCCCTAGTACAAAAAAAAAAAAAAAAAAAAAGTCGTGACCATTAATCCTGATATATCAACTTCACTGATATATCAGATTCCTAGTAGATGAATAAAGCACTCTTGCGGGTCACAGAGGTGAGGCATTGGGTACTGTCCCTCTGGGACTGTTTCCTACTCGACTTCCAGCCAGCATGAACTGAGCAGTTTTGCTCCATCACATGCTTCTACCATGATGTTTCTGCCTTGGAGCCACAGGCCATGAACTGAATACTCTGAACTGTGAGCCAAATTAAACCTCCCCTCCTTTAAATTGTGGGTGTCACATATTGTGTCCCAGCAACAAGAAAGCTAATACGAGTGCTGGCATTCTGGATATGGTCAGCCCTTGCATCCACTGCTGTTTCCCTCTGCCTCTTGCCCCCACTGACCTTCAAAACATTCCTGTGCAACTTGCCCAGACCTCTGCATGGGTGTTACATCTTGCCAGACACTGGGCCTCCTGACACTTCCAATTTCCCACCTAGACACCTTGGTGTCTTGTTCACCTGCCACCTTGTAGCTCAATGGTCAAGTTGTACTAAAGGCTCTAGCCAAGGAACAAAAGCAATAAAATTAAAGGGTATTCAGCAATGACAGAAAGCCCACTTCCAAGTATTTGCCAATCAGCCTGCTGCAGAAGCTCATTCCCTATGGTTCCTGCCCCTGACTCATTCCCTGCTTCTCTACAACCTATCCTGTTACCTAACTAAAACACACACCAGTTATCAAAGGTAGGTGGGCAAAGCAGATGAGCAGGAAGCTCCAGGTCTGTCCACAAGAGGGAGTGTGGGAGGCCCGCTGCAGAAAGATGGTTCCCTTGACAAGCCTGTCTGGAGGTGATTTATCCGTGAACTCCTGCTTCACCACGTTTGGGACTTGGGTTGCTGTAGAGGAAGAGAAGTACGGGTGTCTCAGATATGGCTGAAGGACCAGGGCACAAGCAAACCTAGGCCCTGAGGCCCCCGCTAAATGTTTCAGAACGCTGTTAGGGCCTACGTGAAAAAATCTTAATGGTGTGGAAACCCAGGGATTCTTTTGAGGTGAGATAAGGCCATGGGGTGTGTGGTAGGCAGAAGAATGCTCCCCCAAAGATGTCCTCATTCTAATCCCAGGGACCTTTGAGTAGCTGTGTTCCACGGCAAAGTGAGACTGCAAATGGAGCTGACTGGAAGAGAGGGAGATTCGATTGTCCTGGATGATCTGTGGCTTTAAAAAATGGAAGGAGGAAGTAGAAAAGGCCCAAATCACTTTAGAGAAAAAACTTTTATAAAGGGCAAAAGGCACAAATTCAGTCCCTCAAGCCCTTTTATAGAAGCACTGGACTCATAATTATAAAAATCACTTGTCTCTATATTTTTTTTTAATATTTAATTCTAACATCTTGCTTGGGACAATCATAAGGAAATTTTTTCTTTCAGTGATTGAAATTTAAATGTGCTTAATTAGTCGTATACTTTTGTGCAACAAACAACTCCAAAATTTGATAGTCACGAGAGTGGAGCCTCATGACTTAATCACTTCCCCAAGGCCACTCTTAAAACATTACATTGGCTCAGTTTCAACATGAATCTTGGAGGCACAAATTTTCAAGCCAAAGCATCACCCAAGTGGTCAAGGAAGCTGATGCTAAGATCCTCTGCCGCTTAGCTGAGCTCTCAACAGTGCCATGTTTAAATCAAACTGCTGTACACGTCCCAGCCTGGCTTGGAGAAAATCACTCACCTTTTCACGCTTTCATTTCTTCATCTGTAAAATGACAGCAACTCTTACATCAGCCAGATGTTCTTGTGAAGATTTAATGAGCTGATATATATAAAGGAGAGGTAAGTTCCATTTAAGTATTTGCTCTTACGTCCAACACTGCCAATCTGTTTGGAGATCCAAATGGTCCTGGAGGATGCTTGGTGGCTTGCCCTAGGTCATGTGCCACCCTCTCCCCTGCTGCAAGTACAGCACATGATCCGGACAGAAAGAGTGGGCACTTTTCCCTCACAACTGCCTCCAGGTGGGCACACGCTACAAGTAGAGGCAGTCACAAAGGACTTCAGACTTTGGCTGAAAAGTGTGGGACAAGGCCACTGTCTCCTCCCACCATATGCACAAGCCCAAAAGATGCCGGAATATTGGGTCCAAAGCAGTACTGACCTCAGGAGGGGGACAGAGTAGAGAGGTAGAAATTGGGTCTTTGTTACCATTACACAGTTTCTGGGTAAAACCTCACCTACACTGTTCATCTGTGCCCACTAATTCAGGTCAATTTGAGTTGGTTGTTCTGTTATCGCTAACACTGTCTCCTAACACACAAAAATAGGTCCTGGAATGGCGGGGGGCTCTTGGGAGCCAGGGCAGTCTGGGTACTGAGGAAGCCAGCTGTGAGAGGGAGTGTGGAGTGCAGGCCATTGATTAATGAGTGCTATTGGGACCTCTGACCAACAGAAGGAGACGTGTACAGGATTGGACAAGGGAGAAGTCGAGCTGCAGTACAGGACACAGACAGCTGCAGCCAACGCCCAGGGAGACCTGGGGCCAGAAAGCTCTTCAGAGTGGTTCCGAGTTGGACCAAGACATCTGGACCTTTATGTATCACATGGTTGTTGAATGTAAGGAGCCAGACCTCAAGTGAGTGGCTCTCTGTGGCTGAGGCCACCCTGAGTCCTTGCTTTGGAAGCAGCTGGGCAGTGAAGGTCTGCAATGTGGGGCTTGGTATAACTTCCCCAGCAGCAGAAGGAAGCCATCGAGACTTGGGCAGGGGACCATCCAGCACCTCTCCTGAGGAAGGTCAGGCCCCAGAGGCAGTCAGCACAACACATTCCTACCACATCTCCTGCAGACCTAGCTGGGGACCCCATACACCAGCACACACCAAATGCAAATCCATATTTTATTCGTTAAAAAAAAAGAGACAGCTTTAATGGAACTCCCTCTTAGCCAAAGAACAGCACCAATGGGAAAAAAGAGAAAGAGGGAAAAAAGAAAAGCTATAGGCAGAAAGGAGGAGGGCTGCAAACCAGGGTCTGGATGGAGACACGGTCTTGGAAGAAAACCAAGGAAGGCTCCAGGTGCTAGGGAGACAGCAGGGAGAGCAGGGTGGCCCACGGCACAGCCACCTAGAAAGGGAGCAGCTCCTCCACGGGGATGTTGAGGATGATGTCCATGTCTGGGGGGCACCTGATGGGAAGCAGCAGAGGAGTGTGAAGGGCCAAGAGGGCGCCAGAGCTAAGGGGTGAGGGGCACAGCCCCCGGGGAGCCCTGCTCTTTAGAACGCGGGAGTCCACTGGAGGGCCCATCCCAAAACACAACCTGCGACCAACTACGCATCCATACGTGGGTGTGTGCGTGTGCGCGTGTACACACACACACACACACACACACACACGCAAAACAACATGAGAAATAGAAATGAGTTTGGCAGGAGTGATGTTTCCCTAAAGAGGACTGAGACGCTCAGGACAATCACTCTTTGAAGTTGGCACAATCACTACATGCTGAGCAAGTTACTTCTCTCTGACCCTCACACCCCCAGTCGCCACCTGTGTGGCAGCACCACGTGTCAGGCTACAGGTCAGCCTCAATCTCCTCTTCTGCTCAGTGAGGGTGCGGGCTCAAGCTCAGCCACTGGTAGGAGGGGCCATGACATCTACATCACGTGCTAGCCTGTTGCCGGTGCTCAGAAGATGGCATTAGTCTTCCCAGAAAGGAGCAGGAGAGACACGTTCCCTCAGCAACACAATCCCCAATCAGTGACTAGCACAGACAGAAAAGAAGCTCTAGGATTATATTTTCCCTCCACTGTTCACTGTTCAATCTTTTTTTTTTTGCTTTTTTGCTTTGTTTTTGAGATAAGGTCTTACTGTATAGTTTAGGCTGGCCTTGAACTCACTCTGTAGGCTAAGCTGGCCTTGAATTCATAGCAATCCTTCTGCCTCAGTGCCCCAACTGCTGGGATTACAGGCATGCACCACCACACCTGGCTTTGAAAGTTTTCATGATAATAGTTTTTAAAAGCTACATCTATACTCAAATTTCTATCTCCTATCGATCTCTGTCCTTTGAGGTTGACACTTAACCACTTGATGGCTGTACACAAATGTCCCACTTTGGCATGGAACACTGCTTCCTGTGCCTAGGACTCCCTTCCTTCCTAAGGGCAACAGTGAGGCTGCTGCCCCTGGCCTCTGCGCCTCTCTGCTCCTGCAAAGGGATGGACTACCTGAATGCTGGCTCTGGAGAGGAGGGCCCTCGGAAGCCCAGTCCCTCATCTCAGCCACAAGCCCACCAAAGGACCACGCTCTTCTCCGCTCTGCTCCAAGGGCCAGATGTCCAGATCCACCTCGACTGGGTGGCTCAATCTGCCTGTCAGTTTAGGGTTAGGAAGCCAGGTGTCTGCAGACATAAGCCACATTCTCTCAAGTGAACTTTTAGCAGTTAAGAGTGGTAATCTAGCCCATACTGGACTCACCTCTTTCAGTCTTATTTCAACAAGTTTAGAATCCAGGTGAAGGCAGAGGTGCCAACTTACAACATCCCCAGGGACCCTGCCACTGCCACCTGGCATCACTCTCCCTTCAGCTTCTCTCCAGCATCTTTGCCCAGTGAGCCTCTATGCCACATCCTCAGGGAGACCTTCTCGATGGCCCCAGATTCACGGCCTGGGACACGCTTTCCCAACACCACAGGCCTCTCATCAGCAGCTCCTGCCCAGCGGCCCAGGAGCCCTCCTGGCTCAGCCCCAACTTGACATTTGTGTCTTATTGTCCGCTAACTCTGGTTCACACCTTGACTCCACAGTGGCAGGGACAAGTGTGATAGCCTTTACTTATACGGTTGCTGGCACTTCATAATGGAACAGCGTTTTAGGACAGAAGAGAGGGAAGAGAAGGGGGTGGAAGAAAGGGAAGGGATGGAAGAAAGCAGGAAGAGACAAAGAGGGAAGTAAACAATTTGCAAAGGCCAGGCTCTGTCACACAGGAATCTGTGGTGCCTTGTGCAGAGGCCTGGCCTAGGGATCCTCAGCCCAACCACAGAGGGCCTGATCCAAAGAAGGGCAGGCAAACAACTAGTTTGGGATTTTTTTGTTGTTGTTTTTGTGTTGGGAAGAAAAAAAAAGGGTTGAGCGAAGGTAGTCTAGGTCAGCCTCGAACTTGCTTCGTAGCCCTACCTAGCCTCAAACTGACAGTGCTCCTTCCTGCCTCAGCCTCCTAAGTGCCAGGATTATAGTCATGCAGCAACACACCTGCTGAGAATTGATTTCACAACAAAAGAACTTCTTCCCTTGGCGGGCAGAAGCCTGTGTCTTCTAGGCATGACTTCCTTGGGACGAATCACGCCATTCACTCCTGCCTTCTCAACAACCCACCCAGCTGACACAGGGAATCTGGGAACCAGAAGGGTCCTTAGAGATGACATAGCCCAGCCTGCTGGGTACCAACAGGAAAATGGGCCAGAGATGGGAAAGCTTACATCTGCCTGTGGCCAGTGGCAGAGCTGAGGTGGACACACGGGCCTCCTCCCTCCCGGCACCAGGCTCTGCCGTCCATACCAGGCAGCCTTCCCTGGTAAGAGCCTCCTAGAGCAGGGTCTGAGACAGCTGCACAGAAAGCACGTACTTGGGTCTCCGAAGCAGAACATCCTCAAAAATGACCTCCCGCAGATCCCGGACCCGGGCCTCAAGCGCCTCCACATCAGCTCTTAATGTGGGCATTTTCTCCTTCAATTGGTCAATAAGCTGAGGGGAAAGCACCACAGGGAGAAGTGAGACGCCAAATGGCCCCAATTAAAGGAAAGGGGGCAAAATGCACAGGGTGCAGGAAGCTCTGGGGAAATGACATGGCCTTATCATAGGGACAAGCGGGACCGGGGTGGGGGTCCCGAGTTAGTGTCAACAGTCAATGGTGCTAGGAAAGGTGAGGGCTCTTGGCGAACAGAACTGCGTCGCCTGCCATGAAGACAAATGGAAGCTGGCTGGGGAAGGGCACTCGGATCAAGAGCCCACGAAGGTGCAAGAAGATGAAAACCCATTCGAGGGGTGGTGACAGTGAAGCTCATTAGCACAGAGCTGAGGAGGGGTGCACAGTGCACAGTGGCTGAGCAGGAGGTGCCTGCAGATGCTGCTAATGGGTCACAGCCAGTGACCGTGGCCAGAGGCAAGGCCTCAGCCAGCACGAACCCTCTTCACAGACCAATGACAAGTGACAGGAACAGCACTGGCAAGGAGGAAGACAACACCAGAGTCGGGCATCAGGAGAAGCCTGCACCCCACAGCCTGGGAGCTGCCCGCCCCACTGCTCCCTCTGAGGGACCACAGCTTTCCTGTGCACTCACTTCTCTGCACTTGACCACACATTTCTGCTGGCACTGGCTGTCCCGCATCACCTGCTGAAGGGTCTTGTCATAGGGATATTGGGTTTTCTGTGGACAAAGGAGAGGTCTGACCCTGGGTGTCTTCCTGGGCAGCAATGCATGGCAGATATGGGGTGGGGGCGGTCCAGTGGGCTACAGGCAGAAAACAAGGAAAGCAGGACTGGGGCAGCACTGGAGACCCATAACAGCCACTGGTGACTCACCACCACCAGGGAGCTCCAAACTTTTCTCTTTTTCTCCTGCATTGCGTTGGACAGAGTCTTCAGCATCATTCTGCGCATCTCACTGCGGTTATCCAGCTCCTCCTGGGGGCCAGCAGAAGGGGTGGGCCACTAGATCCGCCTCCCATGTGGTCCAGGGCAGTAGCCAGCACCCCTACCTGCTGGCTGTCCTTCGCCTGCTGCAGCTGGCGCACAAGGCTGGCAATCTGCACAGACCTGGCAGGGTACTCAAGGTCCATGTACGTGCTCAGGAAGCTCACCAACTCCTGGGTGTTCTTGATCCTGGTGTTCAGCTGCTCTGCCTGCTGCTCCAGGCCTGGGGAGGGGTGTGGAGAGATCAGAGTGACAGGAGCAGGGCCTCCCCTCAGAGGCCACTCCAGGACACTGGGCCCTTCTTGGCTAACAGAGTAGGGTGTGGGCCGAGGTGAGCTCACAAAACTCAGGGACGTGGTGAAAACGTATCCCCTAGACAGTGCCCCACGTATGCAGGAGGCAAGGTAATGCTGGGAGGAAAGAGATCTTTAGACCAGTGAGACCAGGGAGAGCGGGTAACACTGGCTCTCAAGACACAATCCCCGGGAGGATAGAGACAAAGTCTACCCGATTCCCACGTGGAGGGGATTCTCCATGTCTGAGCCTGTCTGGCATACCCCCTCCCCCAGAAAGCATCTTGTCTGCTCAGGAGGAAGCCATTGGCCCTGCAGGATGGAAACCAGCAGACCTCGTTCCTGGCCCAGCCACTCACTCCCAGAGGGACCTTGACAGGGAACAGAGCCAGGCTAGGACTGGATCCTGGCTCCGGGCTGTATAACCTTTACCAGACTCCTTCACCTCCCTTAGCTTCCATTTCCTCGTCTGTAGGTGGCTGTAATGACTGAATATACATGGGCCTAGAAAATGCAGACACCTATGGCCTGGAATGTGCTAAGTGCTCATAAATTAAGCTCTGAGCTCTATATCTCAGCAGTTCCACCTGCCACTGAGGAATAAGAGGGGTCTGATGGGTTCTGAAAGGCAGGTTCAGGTGAATGCCTTACAGCTGCCCTCCCCAAAGGGCCAGGGGTGAGGGCCACAAAGTCTGCCCCTGGGCTTCTTACTGTTCTTCTTGCGTTCCTCCTTCTCTCTCCACTCCTGAAGCTCAGACTCTGACCTCTGTAGCTTTTTGTTTGAGTACTCCAAGATGTCCATCATGTTCTGCAGAAGTGCTGGGGTCAGTTCACCTCAGCCTCTGCTGTCCTTCAGCTCCCAGCCAGCTGTGGTCACGCAGCACTTCCTCAGAGGAGTCCCCAGGACCAGCAACCTGGCCAGAAGCTAGAGAACAGTCACCTCCCACCCACCCCATCCCCCAACAAACTCCTCACCTGGGCTTCAAGGCCCTCCTTGATCTGACCCAAGTCAACCCCTCCCTCTCTGACCCCTTCCTCACAACTTACTGTCCAGCCTCATACAGCACCATATGATCCTTGAGTCAGCTATGCTGCTCTCGCCCCAGGCCATGGGCATCTGTTCCTTCTGCCAGTTAACACCTACTCTTTGATCGCAGCCCACTTTCTCCAGAAGCCTTCCTGGTGCTCACATGTCTGGGCTCCCCAAGTCCCCCACTCCCAGCACAGCACACTCACAAGGCTTTCTAACTGCCTGTGGTCCCCGTGAAGAAGAGCTTGATGTGGATGAGGTTTCTCATGATTGCTGTTCGCAAAGGTTCCCAGGGGACATCAAAGATAAACAACAACGACAAGAGACCAAGGGACCACTAACAGAAGGTTTGGAGAATGTTCTACATTTCCTTGGACTATATGTCCTTGGCCTTGATCCCTGCTATAAACTGAACTGTGTTCCCTCTAAAATTAATACGTTGAAGTCCTAGCCCCTCGGCATGACTGCACGTAGAGACAGGGCCTGTAGGGAGGTGATCAAGGGTGGGCATAAGGGTGGCTCTTCATCTGAAGGACCGGTGACCTCACGAGAAGGAACACCAGTGCTCGCTCCATGTGCACAGAGGAAAGGCCACGGAAATCACGGCAAGTCAGGAAGAGAGGCTGTACCAGAACCCAACGGCCAGCCCTGGATCTTGGATTCCCAGACTCCAGAACTGTGAGAAATCAATTTCTGCTGTGGAAGCTGCCCAGCCTACGACATCTTGTTAAGGCCGCCCAAATGTCTCCTCACTGAGCTCACTGAACACCGAGTGACTTATACAGCAACTAAAACAGTCCCCAAGGAGCCTGGATTTTCTCTACACCTCTCAGACTCAGTGTCCTCTATCCCGCTCCTCTCTGGGCAGACTTTGGACAAAGAGAAATCACTTCATTGACCTATTTCCCTGTCTCTTCTCCAGCCCAAACTCCTGGGTCACCTGGGAACTTCTTGCCCTCTCACCACATGTCACCACATCTCCCCCAGAGGAGGCAGAGGACGCTCCCTGGGCTCTCTGCAATCATTCTTCCCCCACAGACCCTAAGTGCCAAAAGCACACAGATCCTGGTGCCAGACTGCCTGCAGTCAAGTCCCAACGCTGATCCTTGCTAGCTGGGTGACTCTGAACAAGTCACCTATTCTTTTTCTGCCTTTCCATTTCTTCATATGTAAGGTAAGACAGGAACAGCAACCTCCCTCGAGTTACCCCTCAACCTGGAGATGGGGAAAGCACTTAGCATCACAATGTGCAAACATCTGCTTCTGCTGCTGCTGCTGCCGCCACCAGCAGCGATGGCTGAACAGTGGCAGCTACTTCCTCTTGCAAAGGTACCATGTGTGGTGGCTACAACTTCCCTTTGAGGTGAGCACTAGTGTGCCCCACTTGACAGAGCACCACTCGGACCCGACTCCAAAGCCTGGGCAGGTGGCCAAAGTGTAGATGGGGACACAAAGGAAATAGGGCAAGGAGTCAGGAGAAAGCAGGGCTCGGGGCTCACCACCGCGATGTCCTCCTGCTGCAGCATGGCCCACACTTGCAGCGCCGTGCTAGCCTCCGTGTCCAGGATGGTTCTGACCGCCTCTTCATTCTGCTTGGTGAGGAAGCACTCATGGCTGCAAACATCCTGGAGCAAGCCCCGCTGGTTCCGGAGCATCAGCTGTGGCCAAGGACAGGAACGGGTGTTTTGCCGGAGTCAGAGACCGTGTAGCCTGGGGACCTCCCCTCTCACCATCCTCATCCTGTGCAGCCTCCCCAGTAAATGTGCCGCAGATGGAACAGGGGCTCCCCACTGTCTGTGCATCAGTGCCCTAAAAGTCCACTTGGAAATGCACATTTTCCCATAATTTCATATCTCTGAGGTAGGAAGACATCTGACAGATGTTAGTAGGAAAATAAAGTTATACCTATGATCAGTGGTGTCTGAGAATCAATGAAATATTCTATTAGGATAACAGCTATGGTAATGATATGATAATAATGACAAATGCCCCAGATGAGTCAGAGAGCAAAAGGGACGGGCCAGGTCTGGACGAGAAGCAAGGGAAGCCAAATGGGTGGTAACAGCCACTATTTCCTGTCCCATCGTGCAAGGACCCTGTGGATATCTGAGGGGGTAAGTGACTTGTGTAAGGCACGGAAAATGGATAATAATAATAACAGAAATAACCCTTGTTGAGTGCCCACTATATGGGAGGGCAGGTACCATGCGTTGCTGTGCAGGCAACACATGGCATCAGTTCATCCTCCAGCCACCCTATGCCCATGAACTCTACTTTGCTGATAAGTGGAGGCTAAAGAGCCTATGTGACTTGTCCAATCTCAACCAGCCAAGTGGCAGTGCTGGAACTGCAGCCAGACTCCTCAATCCCAATGCCCGTCTTTCTATACACTGAGACAAGAATTCAGTGGGCTTAAGACTTCAAGGGGCAGGCAAACCAGGCAGCGACTACGACTTGGATGTCATGCCTAGACATTCCTTGGTTCAAATGCCAGTTCTACCACTTACCATCTAAGGAAACCTGAACAAGTTAATGACCCTCCCAGAGCCTAGTCCAATAAACCCTGTGAATAACTTATACATGTTCCAGAGAGCTGCTATGAAAACAGATGAGATACAATTCACAATCAAGCCACTTAACGGCCGTGCCTGCCATGCTCAGCATGCACTCAGTGAGCAGGCACTGATACCTGTCCGGCTCTAGCCCTCTGCCCTTGGCCTGTTGGTGCTCTGCTTCATGTCCATCCTTCACCAGAATCTACACTTTCCCAGCCCTCAGCTTCTGCATTCCTGATCAGCCGTGCGGAGTACCTGCTGCTGAGCACTTGGCAGCCCTTACCTCACAGCGACCTCCACAAGGAGCGCTACTGGGAGACCCAGGCACTTCTGAAAACGGGACCCCAGCATCAGGTACAGCAATGGACCCATGGTCACACATAGCAGAGCCGTTGTCCTTAAGGTCTGGGCTCCCACCACTCCACTAAACAGCCTCCCCATCTCCAGGCCAACAACACAAACACCTATGGAAACGCCCACCTCCAGTGCTTGGCCCACACCTGCCTTGTGAAAGTTGGCAACAGGAATCTGCACTTAACACACATCCCGCTCCCGGCTGAGTCCGAAAGAACAGAACACAATGACCTCGGCTTTAGAGATGGATTCCTCTCACCACCAAAGCTAAGGTAGAGCCAGCTGGGACTCTTCTGTGGCTCACCTCAATCTGTAATTATAGCTTACAATATGTCTTCCCATTTCCCAACATTTCTCTCCTAGGACTTGTCACCTAACATAAAAGACATTTTTCTTATTGCCTTCTTGTTTGTCTCCTACTAGCACACCACAGCCAGGAGAGCAAAGGCTGTCTCTGTTCTGTCACACCTCTATGGCCAGCACACAGGACAGTGCCTGGAGCTCCATGAATATGGGCTGAATAAATTAATGAGAAATTGTTCTTTGAGGTTGGGGGGTTGTTTTGTTCTGAGGTACTTGGGATTGAATCCATAACCTCCACACCAAGCTATATCCAGATCTTTTCTACTTTTTAAATTTTGAGACAGGGACTCACTAAATTACTGAGTTGCACAGGGTGGTTCAAACTTGCAATACTCCTGCCTCAGCCTCCCAGAGTGCTGGAATTACAGATATGCGTTTTTTTTGTTGTTGTTGTTGTTGTTTTTATGGGGGGGCTAAGGATTTAGCTCAGTGGCACTGCATGTGACTCCAAAGCACAAGGTCCTGAGTTCGATCCCAGGTACCAAAAAAAAAATTATTTATGGAGCCAGAGATTTAGCTCAGTGGTGCCACTGCCTGCCTCTCAAGTGCAAGATCCTGAGTTCGATCCCCAGTACCATAAATAAATAAATAAATAAATATAATTTATTTATGATGTGCCTCTGCTAAGCCCCATAACTACACAAACTCTGAATGCCTGTTCATATCTGCATCCCCAGTACTCAGTACAGTGCCTGGCACATACTTGCTCAGAAAGAATTCAGAGTGAAGCTGGGCATAGGGGTACATGCCTGTAATCCCAGCACTCTGGGAGGCTGAGGCAAAAGGATTGCAAGTTCAAGCCCAGCCTGAGCAGTGTAGTGACTTAGGGTGACTCTGCCTCAAAATTTAAAAAAGGGGCTGAGATATAGCTCAGTGTGGAGGCTCTGCCTTCAAATCCCAGAACTGTAAAACAGTAACTGTCATTTGTTAAAGGGCTGAGGATGTAGCTCAGTGGTAGGGCACACCTCGGTTCAATCTCCAATACTCCAGAGACTGAGTGGTCCCAGCTTACTTGGCATAGAACACAAGGCCCTGTGGGCCAAACCCCTTTACCCCACCATCTTTCCCACCCCCACCTGCTCCAGCCACGCCACCCCCAAGGCCTTGCACTTGCAGTTCCTCTGCCTGGAGCACGTCTCCCTCAGCTGTCCACATGCTGCTTCCTCACACCCTTCAGGTCTCAAAGGCCAGCACCTGACCAAGCTCTCTACAGTGGTCACTGGCGCCCCCTCGGCCCTAAGCTTATTCCTCTGCCTCCCCTCCCCCTGCTCATACCATCACTTCACATACACAGGTGTCTTGGCTGCCGTCTGTGTCCCCCAGTAGAATGTGAGCCCCCGGAGGTCAGAGACCCCATCACTGGTGGATCCCCACACTCGGGACAGGGCCTGACACATAGCAGGTGCTGAAGAAATATTTGCTGAACAAATGAACAAATGACTGACTGATTACAAGGTACTATCAAGAAAGGGCTGAGAGCGCAAGGTTTAGAGTCAAATTGTCCAAGTTCATGCTCTACAGCAAACAGAAACACATAAACTCTTTCAGGTTGGGATAAAAGTAACACGAGAAACTGAAATCCCCTTTTTAAGAGTACTGAGTCCCTGAAAAACAATTTTGCAAAATTGAAAGCTAATGTAGGAAAAATGATTTCAAAGCAAATACTTTTTTTCCTTTTTTCTTTATAATCATTGTTCAATGAACTATTAAAAATTTTCTCGCTGGGCATGGTGGCTCATGCCTATAATCCCACCACTGGGGAGGCTGAGGCAGGAGGATTACCATGAGTTTGAGGCCACCCTGGACTACATAGTTAGTTCAAGGCCGGCTTGAACTACAGACCAGGGTCCTGCCTCAAAAAAATAAAACAAAACAACTTTCTTCAAGAAGTCAAGAGTTCTGCAGTACTTGGTAGTATTTATAACACTTAGCATCTACGAAATCCATAAAACAATGTATGACTAAAAAAAAAAAAATTAGGCACAATGGGCTCGGCTGATGGTAAACGTGATGGGGAGGCTTCCAAGGTCTGTGTCAACGTGCACCATGTTCCACGAAGGACAACAGACTGGAAATGTTAAGACAAGCCACTAGACTGCATCCCTAACACAGCAAAACTGACTGTTTTCCTGAATCTAAACACAACAACAATAGCTTGTATAACTGCCTTTGCCCCCTGCTGTGTGACCCAATGCCTTGAGCCTCAGTTTCCCCTCTGTAAAAGAGGAAGGGTACTGAGTACCTGTGGGCCTGCTGTGAGGAGGAACTGAGTCAAGTCTGGCGCCTGCCAGCTGCTCAGAGCATGTCTATGACATCCAGGGCCCTGTCTCCTGCCCCGGGACCCCAGGCCTGTGGGAAGATGCTCCTCATACCCTCATTAGCTGGGGTTTGGCAGATATCTTTCCTGGGTGTGGCTTCTGCCTTATTCGTCCTTCTGGATTCTTCGGCTGGTTTGTCACCAATGGGGTGAGCTTGGAGGGCACTGCTGGAGACAAATAGGAGAGGACAAGGAGAGGATAAAGGTGCAGGCAGGCCTAAGACCAGTTCCCAGGAAATGCAAGGAGAGGTCCCAGGCACCATCCCATCCACTCACGACAGACAGAGGCTGCGACGCTGGACAGAGGACAAAGCTTCCACCCACCAAAAGTGCCAGGCCCACTCTCAGCACAGGTGGATAGGCAGACAGAGGACTGGGGCAGTAACCCACACATCTTTTTTCTTTTGGTATGGGGGACTCAAACTCAGGACCTTGTGCTTGTGAGGCAGGCACAACACCACTGAGCTAAATCCCACATACACATACTTCAATCACAAGCGTTCCGAAACTTGATTCAGGAAATTGCCCAGGCTGGTCTTGAACTTGTAGCAATCCTCCTGCCTCAACCTCCCAAGTCGTGGGGACTTATAAGGGTGTGCCACCATGCCCAGCTGCAAAGTATTCTACGAAGGGTGAATCTAACAAACGTTAGACCTCCACACCCAACTGTCCAGTCAGAAGATCTGGGAACTCACACTTTTTGTGCCCTGCCAATTGCTGTCAGAGCAGGGGACAGTAACTAAATGAATGCATGATTACAAACACTTTAGCATACTTCCTTTAACAACTGTATCTAAATCGAGTATCTAGGCCTGAGTCCAAATCTCTGCTCTCTCACACCTTGGGAGCTGATGGAAAGGTTAATGTTGTGTTAAATGTATGAATATCTGTATATTTCTGGTATTTAATTGTATTAAGAGACAACGATTAACAGGTTAATCTTGTGTTTTAATTTTAAAGGTGTAAATGAGATTTTGATTTAGATTTAAGTTGAAAGGCTTAAGAAACTCCCACTAAATGTGTAAAGTTACAGAAATTCTTAAGAGAACATAAGATTACCCATACTTGAAGTCCATTTATTTGATATAAAAGACTTATTTAAATACCCAATGGGTTTTTGTTAATCACAGAAATAATTCTTGAAAATGAAAATGAATGTATTAAATTTTACAACATGGCTTAGAAGACTTAAGGGAATTTAACCAAATTCCAAAATCCCCTTACAAGTATTTACAAAACTTGCAAGATTCATCAGCTGAACCTAAATGCTTAAGAAAGACTTGTAGCTTTAGTAGTATTTATTTACTTTTTTTTTTTTTTTTTTTTTTTTTTTTTTTACATTTTTTGAGACAGGGTCTCACTATGTAGTTGAGGCTGACCTGGAACTCACTATGTAGCCCAGGCTGGTCTCGAACTCACAGCGATCCTCCTGCCTCAGCCTCCCGAGTGCTGGGATTACAGATGTGCACCACCACGCCCGGCAGTAGTATTTATTTTCATTTGTGGAAGTAACCCTGATTTGTCTTTTTTTCTAATTAAACTTTTTATGTGGATATAAGTTCAGATTCACATGCAGTTTGGAGAAATAACAGAGAGATCCTGTGTTCCCTGTACCCAATTCTCCTAGTGGCAACATTGTGCACGACTATGGCTCACTGTCACCGACTGCACACTGACACGGAGGCAGACAAGAGGCAGAACCTGTCCTCAAGCACGAGGACTCACCTGTTGCCTTTTACAACCACATCCACTCCCTCTCTCCAACACTGTCCCTAAACCCTAGCATTCATTAGTCTGCTCTCCACTTCCATGACTCCATGTATAAGTGCAATCGTACACCGTGCAACTTCTGAGATTGACTTTTTTCATTCAGCATAATTCTTGGAAGATTCACTCAAGTCGCTGAATGTACCAACAGTTCTTTCCTGTTTATTGCTGAGTAGTAACCCATGGTATAGATAGGTCATTGTTTGTACAACCATTCATCTGTTGAAGGACATGTAGGCTGCCTCTAGTTTTGGAGGGTAATGAATAAGGCTGTTATGGACATGAATGTTTTCACAGTAGCTTTTGTGTGAACGTAAGCTTTCATTTCTCTGCAGTAAATGTCTAAGAGTGCAACTGCTAAAACCAACTATGGCGGCACATACTTGTAGTCCCAGAATCTGGGAACCTGAGGTAGGAGGATCATGATCAGTTTGAGGTCAGCATGGGCTACATACTGAGTTCAAGGCCACCCTGAACTACGTAGGAAGACTGTGTCACACAAAAAAGAAAACAGAAACCAGGAATACTAGCACATGCCTGTAATCCCAGCACATGAGGCTGAAGCAAGAGGATTGAGGTCAGTGTAAACTACATAGTGAGTTCAGGGCCAATCTGAACTATATAGTGAGACCCTATCTCAAAAACAAAAGAATCCAAGTGCTGGGACATATGGGAATTGCATGTGGAATGGAATTTCATGAGAAAACTCACTACCAGGAAGGGCATTGCAGTGCATAACTATAATCCCAGGCTGAGGTTGAAGTGGAGACAGGAGAATCCTGGGTTCAAGCCCAACCCGGGTAACTTAGTGACTTATCAAGACTCTGCCTCAAAATAAAAAAATTTTTTTTCAAAGAGCTAGGGATACATCTCAGTGCGAAGACCCTAGGTTCATTATTCCATACCATAAAAAAGAACAAAGGAAGGAAGAATAGGAAAGGAAATTCACTACCCTACTCATTTCCAGAGAGCTGCACCATCTTACATGCCCACCAGCAATGCGTGCGCAATCCAGTTCTAGAGGTGCCCGGTCCCACTGCCCCCACCACAGTCAGCGGAGCCTGATGGGAAGCTCAGCCTCTACTCATCCAGGCAATGAGGCACAGCAGGCAGTCGGCATCAGTGTGGCCCACAGGGAAGCCAACTTTACATCCTCCCACTCCAGGGTCCTCAGGCAATGTGAGTAATTATACACATAGATATATACATAGGCAAGTTACAGTATTTATGAAGTTCATTTCAGGATACTAAATACTTCAAAATATCTGTAATTAAAAGGAGTGTTAGGTCTGACGCGGTTGAGCAACATCGCTTTACGTGGATAATCTTACTTAATTCTCAGAACAACCCAGTTGCTATCCCTACTTCACAAATGAGAAGCCTCAAGCTCAGAGAGATGAACGACTTTCCCAACTGAATCAACAACAGAGCCAAGATGTGAGCCCATGTCTGCCCAAGTCAAGGCATCAGAAGTTCCCTGGAAAGCGCCACGTGATGTGGCACAGCTGACCCTGTTCACCAAGCCCCATTTTTTTCCCCTCCTTGACACACATCTGGACTCCATTTCCCACTCTTGTGGTTAGACAGGTCCTACGACTTGATTTATACTGCCCTTGGAATGCATGTAAAAATGATGTTATTTCAAGTGTGAGCCCAAAAAAAACTGCCCCCAAATCATCAATGTTCCCTCTTTCCTCTCTGCCGTTTGGACGCTGAAGTATGTGGCAGAGGAGTTCAAGACTTTATCAAACATCAGAGCTAAGGTTGAGGGAGCCTGGACCCCTGAATGACCATACAGCTCTAAGCTCAAACTTTCCACTACAGCAAGTTTGAAAACAGTCCACTTGGTGTTTGTAACTTTGCTCAGTAGTCCAACTGAAAATCTGACTTGGAAAAAACCTGTATGACTGAGAGAGTCACATGTCACATCTCACCGCAGACACAAAGGCGTGATGCGTTCTTCTAAGCACCGCCCTCACCCACATAAGATAACATATAGCGCTGGTGCCAGTGTGCTTAAACATTAATCACTGTGCGCTTTTTTTTTTTGCATTTTATTTTCATAAAATAATGGGGCTCCAAACTATGGGGCTCCAAAGAAAGTTAGTGACAGAACAGTAAAGCTAAGAGGAAAACTGTGAGAACCACAATAAAGAAAAAAATGGTTGAAAATTTGTTAAAGTCTGGAAAAATTAATCTACAAATGTAATTTTTGGGCCACAAAACCAATTTGATTTTCCATTATTTTTTATGGGGAAAACATGTTTAGTTCTCAAACTGTGATGTTCAAACATGAATTTGGGACAAATTGAGTTCAACAGCCAAGGTATCACTGTATTCCCTCCTCTCAGATCTACAAATGCTTTTCAGTTTTTATTTTGAGACACAGTCCCACTAAGCTATCCAGGCTGGACTTGAACTTACAAATCTCTGCCTCATTCTACCAGTGTTCTGGGATTACATGCATGAGACAGCACTCCTGGCTACAAGTGTATTTTGACATTAACGGGAAATAAACTACATTATCACTTGAAATCAAGAGGTTATTTGCTACATCAGTCTGCCTACCTTAACACGAACAGTGTCACCCAGGGCCAGGAGGACCCTATCTTGTCCCCAAGCCCCACACCAGTGCCCAAGTGCCTCTCCCCACCTGTATTGCCTCTACTAGAAGTCTTCATTTTGCTTTTGTTATGGCTGCTGGTTTGTTGAAGTGGAGGCAGAGTCAATGGCTTGGTTTCATGCTTGGACCACTGCTGTGGAATATAATTCATCCAAAAATCACATTGTCAGTCACACAGCATGATCTGTTCACATCATTGCTACAACCTTTACAGATTATCTGTGAGCTTAAGTAAGTAACTTTAGCTTCTGAAGCCCCAATTTTCTCCTCTGTAAATGAATATAATAACACAACTTAAATCTATGGGTCAATGCAAGAATTCTGAGAGGGCTGGGTCTGTAACTCAGTGGTAAAACACTTGCCTAGCATGCTCCAGGACCTGGGTTCAATCTCCAGTACAATTTTGTTTTGTTTAATCCAAGAGATATCTGTGAAGCATGTGATAAATTTTGATAAGTACCCAAAATGCATCGCTTCTTGGCCTTTTTGGCTAAGATCAAGTGTAGTATCTGTTCTTATCAGTACCCATAAATGCTAGTAGTCACTCCTGTGCCCTGCCTTACCAGGCATTGAACCCAGGACCTCTCACTGAGCTACACTCCAACCCAGACTCTTTCTATTTTGAGACAGCATCACAGATAAATTGTCCAGGCTTACCATGAACTTCCAATCCTCCTGCCTCAGCCTCCAGAGTAGCTGAGATTACAGACAGGCACCACCGCACCCAGCCAGCTGTCTTTTTTTAATTTTTTTTTTTTCCTTAATCACCCAGGCAGAAGTTACTAAGCATGTCAGGCTGTGTGGTGCTAGGAACTGTGAAACAGAAGGCATGGAAAAGACCCAATACCCACCCTCAGGAACTCTAAATAGCAATGAGAAAGCAATAAATGAGCAGCACAATAGGCAATAAGCGCGGGAATGAGACTCAGAGGCTTGCTCTGGGTCCCACAGAAAGTGTGTGTGTCACAGCTTGGACTGGAGTTCAGGTCTCCAGACTATCTTGAGGAACAGCCACCTTCATGGGAGTTGAAGGCAGGAGGACTTCAGGGTCAGCAAACCCCTATCCCTAGCTCTCCCGGACTCACCAGAAACTGGGACTTGCGGGCCGTGGAGTGAGTACTCAAGTGGCTGGATCTGAAAAGAGTTGGAGTGAGAAAGAACCTCCATCATCTTCAGCCCAAAGAGCTACAAGCAGCAAACTAGGAATGCCAGGAGTCTCGAACCCAAAACCGAGGTTTCTCGGACGCAAACCCAAGCGGAAGCGGAGCAGGGAGAGAGATCGCGAGAAAGGCGGGTAAGGAAGACGCGAGCGGGGAAGGGCGCGCGACCACCAAGGTTGGCAGAAGGGGCACGCATGCGCATCCGCTAACCGCCGTGCTCCTACTTACTTCGGAAAGACGTGAGCCATTGGCGAAACTAGAATAGTCACGAGTCTGTGGTGCCCTGATCCTCTGGGATGCCTGTTCGGCTTCTCCAACTTCCTTGTCTCTGCGTGGTTCGGGAACTCAGGCCCCTCAAACTTCTCAACAAAACCGGGCACTTTCACTGGTGTTTTGGTCTCCAAGGAAACCAACGCCGACTACGGAGTGTCTGGGAGGACTAATCTCACAAGGTAAAGTGTAGCGCTCCCCCCTTTCTTCCCAACGTGGTTTCAAACATCCGTTTGCCGTCGCCCATATTCCTAAAGAATTACATTTTTTTCTCTCTTTTCAGACTTTCATCACCTTCTGCCTTCCTCGTCTGCTCTCCTGGCTAATGACATTTCTATTTCAGTTTAAAAAAAAAAAAAAGTCATGGAGATCAATTAACCCAAGTTCCTAGCACCTCATTTACCGCAGTACTTGCCTCCTTTCTCTGCATAAATGGACTTTTTTTCAAAGATAATGGCCCAGCAACTCTCCCCATTTTCCCTCACCTCACTCCCCCCCCCACTCCTTATCCCCATCACAAGTATACTAACATGTTTTCATTTCTATTTTTTTTAAGTGATACTTCTCCAGCTGCCCTCCCATGGCTGCTTAACTTTACAGCAAACTCCCAGAGAAGTTTGTCTGCTGCTTCCCTTTTCTCTCCTCCAACCTCTGCCTATCCACTGATGCTGCCCTTGTCAACATCATGCAGCATTTGACATGGCCAATTATTTCCTCCCTTGGGACATTTTCTTAATTTGGTGTCCAGGAAGCCACTCTCTTTTGAGTCTTCTCTGCTGGTGCCTCCTCTTCTCCCTTGATTATTCTAGTGCTGCAGGACTTGGTCCTCACCCTCTGCCTCTTTTCTCTCTCTCTCTCTCTCTCTCTCTCTCTCTCTCTCTCTCTCTCTCTCCTCTCTCTCTGTCTATTCTCACCCCATTCATGTTCCTTTCCAGTTTCATGCATGGCTTTGGATGCCATTGTACCCAGATACCTTCCAGACTTGTATCTCCAGCCTCGACCTCTTCCCTGAATTCCAGCCACACCTCCATCTGCCTACGCAGCCCCACTCAGGTGCCCAACAGGTAACTCTTATTTGTGTCCTTTCCCGAGAAATGTGTTTCCCTATGGCAGCTCTCCAAACTCACCCTCATCTCACCCCTCATCCCACACCAACTCTATCAGCAGATCTTGTCTTGTATTTACCACCACCATCACCATACATGTGCATGCAATACACTTTCACAAACACACACACATACCCTTCTTTGTACTTGAACCTAAACAGGTGGGAGTACTAGGTCCCACCCCTGCCCTACTCTGATTCTCTTCCTGCACACCAGATGTGCTAGATAGAGTAGATAAAGCATACGTGTTAAAAGGGCATCCATTTAAATACACTTGGGAAGATGCAAATAATTTGAACTCGCCTAAAATTTAGTAGTGGACTGGTACTATCGAGCACAAGAGCAGAGTTCCCAATCTTTTTCACCTCTTAAAAGTTATAAAATTATTTTTTTGGTTTTTTTAGGTCTTATTTGCTTTTTCTTGTATAAAAACCCTATCTTGTAGCTACTTCTGGAGCCTGAGTCCTCTGGAGGCAAGAGTTCATTCAGTGTGGGTTTTTACGAGACAGTCAGTGCATTCCTGGTAGGGAGAATTAGTGAACACAGCCTCTTTTCAGAGGCCAAGAGTCAGGTAGCTCGCAGGTCTTGGAGATGGCATTAAAGGTGACCTTGGCAAAGCTGCCCAGAATGGCAATGCAGCCCCTGGAAGAAGTATAGTGATCAGTGGCAGCCAGCAGCTGCAGCAGCTTCTTGGGCACAGGGATTGATGTGATGCCAGCGCCTGGGAGGACGGGGACAAAGCACACCGACACAGGGCTACAGGGCCTGTCACCTCCCAAGGTCAGTGTGGGGCTCACTAATCTTCTTCTCTCAGCAGCTCTCCTAATGGGAACAGAAGGCAGCCACTGCCATTCAAGTTCTCCATTGTCCCCTTGTGGACAGAATGTTTTCAGTGGCACTACACATTGCAGTACACAGAAGACACTACCATGGCAAAAGTAGTAAGTCTGAGACAGGAAGCTCACAAGTTTGAGCCCAGCCTATGAAACTTAGCAAGTTAGTGTGATGTGACCCTGTCTCAAAATAAAATAATTTTAAAAGGGCCAAGGATGTAGCTCAGGGCAAAGACCTTGGGTTTAAAGAAATAGGAAGCAGCAATATGTGGCCTACCTGGGTGGTTGCCTATCCAACAGCCATTCCTCCCATTCCTCCCAGCTAACGGACCCTGACCTTGTCTCTACATGAGGCCCCAGCCCAGGCAATGATTGGTCTGAGCTGGGACTCCTGGGCCTTTCCCAGGAGGACAGTCATAGGCACATGATCAAAATCTGGCCAAGGATCCAGGGTAAGAAGTCTAGTGGGAGACTTTGGGATAGATTTTAAACACTTTTTAAAACTGAAAACTATCTTTTGTCCACTGGGAGACATTGTCATGTCTGCGTGGGATTCCTGGAATTATGGGAATGTGAAGGGAGTTGGCCAAAGATAATATACTGGGCAAAGGGGAGAAACCTGCTCCTTAACTCCTTCACTGAGCCATAGTATTGACCAACCTTGTCACCTATGTAGAAATTACTGAAGGTTAAATAACCAATAACCTTACTGGGTAGCTATTTTGAGCTTTCTGTGACTTTCGGGCCAAAACATCCCACTGAAGTCCACATACTGAGGCAAAACAAGGTAGAAGGAACCTATCTGAAACTCTTGCATGATAGTTATCTCCCTGCCCTGACTGCCTACCAAATGCTGAGCTGCTCCATTAACGAGAAATAAGCTAACTTGCTTAAATCCCCATATTGAGGGTCCCTGTGTTACAGTACCTTAGCCTATATCTCAACTAATTTTAAAAGGGGAGGAGCTGGGATGTAGCTTAGTGGTAGATCACTTGCCTAGTATGTGCAAGGTTTAATTTCGCCACCGTGAAGGGGGGCGGGGGGTGGCCATGTCACACAGCCAGCGTAGGCACCCATGAGAATTACCTGCTCCACACATCTCAGTTCTGTCAGTACCATTACAATCTCTACTGGCAAATTTTTTAAAATACACATTTGTAAAAGTGCTCTCATGTAATCAAGACCAGTGTGCCAGGGGGGCTACCGATAAGCACCCCATAACTATCAAACCCTTCATGGGAACTGGGATTGGAGAAGACCCCATCTGCACTCCCACCGGTCTCAAGGGAATTTTTGATTTCATGAGGACCTGATGGAACCTCCCACCCCAGGCACAGGTGAGCAAGATGAAGCAGCCCTTCTGTCCTGCAAGTTTTGGTGATGTGTGTGACAGAGGACCAGTTCTGCCAGCTCCGGCCTGCATCCCTGACACCATGAAGCTGCAGTACCAGCTCTGAGCTGCATACTTCAGACTTAGGAGAAAAAGAAAGAAGCCTCATTCGTATGCAAGTTACCACTACTCTAGACATCTCTGCTGCTCAGGTATTCCCACCAACTAGCATCGTGAGTTTCCTCATCAAAACTCAGCTGCCATGGGCTGGGGATTTAGCTCAGTGATTTTTCTGCCTGCCTCGCAAGCACAAGGTTCCAAGTCTTATCCCAGGTACCAAAAAAAAAAAAAAAAACCTCAGCTGCCATGTGCTGTGTGCTTACAAAGCACTGCACAACTGTGTTGTCTTCACACCTATCAGTTATAAAGAGTGAGCAAAACAGCACCCAGGTCTGATAGATGCTCCTGAGATAGGGCCCTTCACCTATCCAAGCCTCAGTTACCTGCCTTGTAAAGTAGAGACAATGGTACCTTGTCCAGACTGATCAGGTAGGTGCAACCTGCACATTATTGCCTGTCCTGTTTTTGTTTGGTCTGGTTTTTGAGGCAGGTTGGCCCAGGCTGGCCTTGAACTCGTGGGCTCAAACAGTCCTCCTCCCTCCACCTTCTGGCTGAGACTAAAGTGAGCACCATCCCACCCAGCTTGCCCTATTATTTTTCCTAACATAATCCCTGAGTCAGACATAGTCTAAGCAGTTTATATGACGGTGGCTAGGAAAAGAGGTGAAAGTGATTAATTTAGGATGTACAAATATTTTGGAAGAACTGCTCTCATGATTTGCCAAGAAATTGGTAAAAGATTTGGGAGAAAGAAAGAACAATTGAAAGTGGGAGCCAGTATGGTGGTATGTAACCCAGCTACCTGAGAGGCTGAAGGCAGGAGGATTTTGAGTTTAAGACCAATGTAGGCAACATAACAAAACCTTGTCTCAAAAAAAAAAGGCTAAAGAAGGATATATATGGAAACTAGCGCACTACATTCAGACAAAAAGAGAGAAGAGGCCACACGAGAGAAACACTGGGGGCAGAGCCCAGTGTGAAAGCGACTGCCTAACGTGTACAAGGCCCTGGCTTAAAGCTTTGCACCAGGGAGAAAAAGAGAAAGACAGGAGACCCTCACATTTTCAAGCCACTGAGCCCAGATTTTGTTCCAGGCAGCTGCCAAACATTGGATTTCAGTCTTAGAAAAGCAAGACACCTCTCACTGTTTCCTTCTGTGACAGTAATCCAACAGAAATAAATAAAAGCTGGTCTGTTTCCATGGCCTCAGTGCCCATCTGGATTGTTCTGTTCCCACCGAACTTGCCCAGCCCCTGAAGCTCTTGATTCAATAATCTGTCCAATACAACCTGAGAAAAATGAAATTAATCATTTGTCCACACACATTCCGACCAAATTCTTACAATACAAAATATTGTTAGTTAAATAGAACCCAATCCACAAGTCAGATCTTTTCAAAATACAGATATCTTTAAAGTTAGAGACAAAGCTGAGCATGGTGTCCATGCTTATAATCCCAGCAGCATTTGGGAGGCTGAGGCAGGAGGATCACCATGAGTTCAAGGCCAGCGTGGGCTACATAGTGAGTTCAAGGTCAGCCTAAACTACACAGCAAGACCTTGAGAGAGAGAGAGAGAGAGAGAGAGAGAGAGAGAGAGAGAGAGGGGGGGGGGGGGGAGGGAGGAAGGGAAAGAGAGAGACAAAGCAAAAATGTCCAAAATATGTTAGTTATGAGAGGTTATGGCTAGCTCACTAAGACAAGAAAAAGTATAAGATCTGAAACAACAAACCCTTCTTTATTCCCAAATATAATGGTCAACACAGAAAAGTAGATTCTAAAACCCACTGGAAATTTTTGAAGATTTAAGTTTTGTTGCTAGATATGGAGTCAGTACACAAAATCCAACTGTATTCCCTCTAACCAACAACAGACAATATATAATTTCTGGTTTACATTTTTATAGTTTCATTTACAATAGCAACCAAGCCACATGGTACATTGGAATAAATCCCAAAATTTATGTAATTTTTAAAATAAAATTATAAAATATTGAATGCATAAAATAAGACCTAAATAAATAAGAAATCATGTAGGGCCATAAATAGGGAGGATTCCTATTATAAAATATCAATTCTAGCCTGCTGTGGTAGCAGAACATGTCTGTAATCCCAGCAATGAGGGAGGCTGATGCAGGAGGACCACCAGCTCAACTACTGCCTAGGCAAGTTAACAAGACCTTCTCCCAAAAAAATAAGTGGAATGTGATGGCTCATACCTGTAATCCCAGCATTCCAGGAGGCTGAGACAGAATCATTACAACTTTGAGCCCAGCCTAGGCAATTTAATGACTTAGTAAGACCCTGTCTCAAAATAATAAAAAAGGGGTTGGGGATGTGACTCAGTGCAAAAGCCCTATGTTTAAGCCCCAGTACTGGAATGTCACTCAGAAGAGCACCTGAGTTTGACCCCCAGTACTGTGCATAAAAAGCAAACAAACAAAAAACACTAAAATGTCACTTTTGTACAAATGCAATGAAATTCCAATTAAAATTTGAAAGTTTCTTAGAACTCAATAGGCTAGTTTTTAAAACTTATATGAAGGATTCAAATATAACTGAATCATACAAAGAAAAAAACTATTCGGGCTCATCTTTCAAAATTGGAACCGAGGGGCTGGGGATTTAGCTCAGCGGTTCGGTGGTCTGCCTTGCAAGCGCAAGGACCTGAGTTCGATCCCCGGTACCAAAAAAATTTAAAAAAATGGAAACTGAATGTAGTGGTATGTGCTTGTAATCATATTAATTGGGAGGCTGAGGCAAGAAGGTCACTTGAGTTCAGAGTTCAAGTCCAGCCCAGGCAATATAGGAATCTCCTGTCTCTCAAAAAAGAAAAAATTTGGAAGATCTGGATTCTCATTTAGATACTTCTTTTGACTGTGCGATAGTTACCTGGGCATAAGATGAGAAGAACATAAATGATTATTAAATTCCATAGATTCCATTCAGTTTTATGAACACCCTGCCCTTAGGAAAATTTTAATAGGCAAGCAGGAAGATTAAGAGTGGGAGGCGTAGAGGCCGGGCATTTAGCTCAGTGGCACCGAGCCTGCCTCACAAGCTCAAGGTCGTGAGCTTGATTCCCAGTACCAAAAAACAAAACAGGAGTGGGAGGTGTGAATCTAAGACATGTTTCTGTTGATGATGAAGCTCTAAGTGTGATCATGGGAATGTGTGGCTGAGAAGGGATGGAAGCAAGGGTGTCTGAGGGTACAGTGACAGAACTGAAAGGTGCAGTAGGCACAGAGCTGGGGACTTGGGCTTCCCTGAGGCCGATACCTGAATTTGAAGTGAAGAGAAAGATGATGCTTACTGGCAAGGACTCCAAATGGTAGGCGGCCCCTTTCAATGTCAGAGAGAAATAGAAAAGAATCCAACACCAGTGGAAAGGAAGAACAGCCTTTCCTAAGAGACCATTCTGGCTAAGCTCTATGAGTGAAGAGATTAATGTGTTGGTATCACAGTTATTGACATATTAATAGCAATCCTCTGAGAGTAGACATTAATACCTCGTGTTATGGATGAGCATGTTGAGGTTATGAAAACCAGTCACTAGCCTAGTACATCAGACTGAGACTTGAAGGAGTCAAATTCAAATTTAGGATTCCGACCAGCCTGGGCTACACAGTGAGCTCCAGAGCAGTCTGAACTACATAGTAAGACCCTGTCTCAAAAAAACAAAACAAAAACAAAAAACAGCTGGGCATGGTGGCACATGCCTGTAATCCCAGCACTCGGGAGGCTGAGGCAGGAGGATCACTGTGAGTTTGAGACCAGCCTGGGCTACACAGTGAGTTCCAGAGCAGTCTGAACTACATAGTAAGACCCTGTCTCAAAAAAACAAACAAACAAACAAACAACAAACAAATTTAGGTTCCGCAATCTACCATGTCTTTGACAAAAGAGGGAAAGGTTACTGCAAGATCCTGAAATACACCGGTAACCTACAAGGTGTTAACCCTACCCCCTCAACTCCCTGAAGCCCAGATTTGATCACTGCCTCCTAAACACCGGATGAGACAGGTAAAGGGGAGAAGAGATGCTAACTTAAGCTCCGAGTTAACAAGGAATCTTGACGTGAACTGTTTTTGATCCAGTGTTAGAAGCAAAATGGCTGAAGAACATAAGCGACCTATGCGACCATCACGTGGGACTGCCAACTAATTTAACCTGTCTCCAAAATCCTGCCTCTGGATTTCTAGAATGGGTGTGATTACAGCACCCCTGTTGGAAGATTCCATGTGCCTACCGCATCTAAAAGTACTCAAGTGTATTACAATCGTCACCATGAGTACAATACAGATTTTTGGATATTTGGAAAAATAACAAAATAAGGACCAATGAATGGACAGAGATGTGGCAGGATTAGGTGTAGTAAACATTTTAATGATAAAGTTTAAGTGGCAAAAAACTAATGGTTCACTAAAACAATGTCCGCTAAAAAGTATTTTTAGGTTTGCAAATGTTCATAATCCGGTGTTGGAAAAAACACTATGATGGTACACTTTGAGGGAAAGAGCTACTTGTGGCTTTTTGTGTATGTTTAAGGCACAAAACAAAATGAACGCTAGCGTCTTCTGTTCGGTCCGGTCTTTCTCGTGGGCCGTTAGTAACGCTGCGGGAATGAATCACCGAGGACGCCCCCGACCAGCCAAGTCCGGGAGACAGAGGGCCGCCCCTGCGCAGGAAAGGCGCATGCGGGAGCAGCGTCCGCAAGCGGAGGTCGAGACTTCTCCGGCCGGCGCCGGCCCCTAAACGCTGGGCGTAAACAGTTTTGCTAGGGAGGAAGGGGGGTGGGAGAGAAGCGTCAAATTTCAAAAAAAAAAAAAA